AAATTCTGCGAACAAATGGGTTGGGGGTAGGTTCCGAGCAATACTAATCAACTAAAGAAGACTCAAGTTGCTAATCCCTATCAGCGCCATGGCAGCTATATTAGATCATTTCTCGGATCGCCTCAGAGCCGGAGCCAAGGCAGATCTTTTAGCCCTCGCCAAGGTCACCTTTATCAAGAGTCGGACGGCCCGGGTCTTCTATGACAATGGATTCAAGACCGTCGCATTGCTAGCAAATGCAGATCCAAAGGAGCTTGTGCCTATCCTCATGCAGGTTCGTTTAGTCTACCCATTTGCAGAGATGAACTAAGGGTAGTCGCAGGCGCAACCAACTAAGTTGCGAGACAAGTCTAAAGACGAACAAAAGTACAAAGAGAAACTCCTTGCCAAAGCTCAAGTCATAACAGATTCTGCCAACCGTCTTTGGCGTAAGTAATGTATGCTTTTATTGATGTCAATATCTGACTTTTTTTCAGAGACCGAAATGCAGCAGGAACTTGACCTAGAATGAACTACTGGGTAGGCGGCACTGTTCTTGCCGTGGTGCGCCTCTATTTCACCACAACAGATGCAATATGAACGTTAAGGTGGTAGGCGCCGAGCAACTTGCGACATGCTGTACTTATGCTTCTAGGGGAGCTATCTGAGAGAGTTAGAAGCAGTAAAACGAGCAAGAAGTGTTTATGAGATGACGCCTATTATGAACTGAGGTTATCATCAACGAATGATGTCGGTATCTGGGTATGTCGTGAGCGGTTAAAATACCCCATGATAAAGAGGTTACGGGAAAAGCTAAACTCGGTGAAAGGGGCAGTATGAACCGAGCTGATAACCATATTCCGGCTATCCGCTTGGCTTGGTTCTCCAAATTTCTCCATAACCTACCCCAGGTTGAAGGGTATTGTATTGTGCATGGCGAACCCACCGGGTAAAGGGTAGATGGGGTAGCATTATACAGGAATATAAACAGCAGCGATGCTCTAGACTTCAAAAAGGAGAATTGAATACCTGGTTTCTCAATTGTAGCTATGCTCTCACTCATAGGCGCGATATGCCTTTCCCTTCTCGCACGAGTTGGCGACTCACAGGTCCTCACGGCGGCCCTCGATTATGGGACATTCCAAGGAGCATTTGACCCCATCTACAATATTTCATACTGGCAGAAGATCCCGTTTGCTGCGCCGCCCATAGGTCAGAACAGGTACACATGCTGGAAGACCTCACTTCTATGCTTGTTTTGAATTATCGATCACAGCAGTAAAATTGCTCATGTTCACTGACCTTGTAGGTTCCGGGCCCCTCAGCCACCCCTACTTATCAGTAATGGCGTTTACGACTCATCCCAAACGTTCGACATGTGCCCGCAGCGGGCCGTCAACGGCTCAGAAGACTGCCTTTACCTCGGGCTGTACGGTCGGCCTTGGACGCAGGATGTGCCACTACGTCCCGTCGTCGTGACTTTCTACGGCGGCGGATTCATCCAGGGGTCAGCTTCATTCACCCTCCCACCATCCGCCTATCCCATTCTCAATGTCTCTGGTGTGAGCAACATGGTGTTCGTCTATCCGAACTACCGTGTCAACGCGTTCGGATTCCTCCCGGGCAGAGAAGTCGCGGAGGACCCGTTCTCGGACGCCAATGCCGGCTTGTTGGACCAGGCCATGGCGCTGCGGTGGACGAAGAAGTATATCAGCCATTTTGGCGGCGATCCCGACAGGGTTACCATTTGGGGCCAGTCAGCAGGTGGCGGTAGCGTGCTCGCGCAGACCATCGCGAACCAGGAGAGCAGTGCTAATATTAGGAATAGGGGTAGGGAAGGAAATAGCCCGCTGTTTCGACAAGCCCTTGCTTCGAGTCCGTTTTGGCCGAAGACGTATGGCGTTGATGCGCCTGAGGCTCAGTGGCGATACGATACTCTCGCAAACTTAACCGGCTGCGCGGGGCCGGAGAGCCTAAATTGTCTTAAGAGCGTCGATGTGCAGAAGATTCGAGACGCGAGCCTCGCTATTGTTGATAGCCATAAGTATACCACATCGACATTCGAATGGGGCCCTGTGATTGATGGTGTGTTCCTGCAAAAGCCACTTTCCGCCGCGACGGCACATCGAAAGGGGAGTCTTGTTGCTGGGTATGGCATGTACAACACTCACGAGGGCGAGAATTTTGTTCCGTCGGGGTTGAAGAGCACCTCGGACACGGGTACGCCCCCATTCAACGCGTCGGTGGCTTCTTTCGATCGATGGGTTTCCGGTTATCTCCCTTCGCTCTCATGGTCTCAACTTGATAAATTGAAGGAATTGTACCCCGAGGCAGGGGGCGCGGAGCACGTCGCGAGCTACAACGACTCGTTCACTCGGGCCGGACTGATTTATAGAGACTCGACTCTCGCGTGCCCCGCGTACTGGATGGCGGGCAGCGCGACGGACGGTGGCTGGATTGGAGAGTACACGATCGCTCCAGCGCAGCATGCCTCGGATGTTTATTGGGTAAGTTAGATCAATGCATCATATGTACCTTGCCACTGGCATCGTTTTCTAACGAGATCATGGCCAGTGGAACACCGTCAATTCAGCCCAACAGCAGGATCCTCTGCATTACAAAGGTTACGCAGGTGTGTAGACTAATCCCTTTACATCCCTTCTTGCTTAATTAAGAAGATTGAGCTATTTACGAATAGGCTGCTAAGCCTTGACTGGATAGGCGCTTTAGCATCGTTCTTCATGACCGGCGATCCCAACGCCTTGAAACTAACAGGAACCGACGTTTCCGGATTGCCGGACTTGGAGATTGGGCAGGAGTGGGTGATCGATAGCGCTGGGTTTACGAGTGCGAAATTAGTCCAGCTCAAAGAGAGATGTGCATTCTGGGAAGAGGTGGCGACGGAAGTCCCGATATAGCAAGAATCGTGTGACGAAATTCTAAGGGGCCTGTGTCATGAAAAGATAATTAGATTAATGAAAGGCTGCTATGGTATGAAAGCATAACTCATCCCAATATATAGGCAAAGATGACACATATCGCCGCGCACGCAAGTTTGCAGCTCTAAACCAATGTCAAAGCCTCACAGTGTAAACGACTCGCCTATACCGGACTAACCGGTCACATCTCCCACCCTGGGACAAAAGACATGTGTATATACTTAGGGACTAGCCCAAGGGTGGATTAGATTCCTCACGCAATAACAAGAGTCTTCACCTACCCCTATGTTACGAGCTCTTGATATCTCTATTCTCGATGCTAAGCGGTCGTTGTAGATGACAGCACTAACATGAAATTTCCAGAATCTCTTCGTTGTGTTTATTATGTTCGACTTTTTCTCTCTGTACAAAAATTAGCAGCCGAGTATTGTTCCTTCTTGGGGGCCTGAGTGGTAGAATCTGTTTATCATCGTGGTTAGAATCATTTTTTACCGCTAAGTTTTAACAACACTGTTCTAAAATAGGTCAGGCTGAGCTTGATATTCAAGGAGGCTTCTCTACACCTCCAGCGAATCGACATTCATCACATTCATAGTATCAAGAAGCCGATCAATTAATGTACCATGATTACCCTCCAATTCTAGCGTATATTTCCAACTGATGCAGCGAGGCCTCTAGCTTGAGATCCTCGGATGTAGCCGGAAAATCCCAGCTTTCATATCCCTTCCACATCTGCTTCGTCCTCGGAGACTCAGGATCAGCGTATGGTTTACTAAGTAGGGCAGACGTTAGCAGAACCACAGAAGCAGGAGCGGGGTTAGATAGGTACTTACTTGGGTTTGCCAAAGACCCCGGCACTGGTTGTCTTAGCGCAGATAATGGCGACTGGCCGTGCGAGATCCGCGATGATCTGCTTGACTGGTGCGGCAGTGAAAGGCGAGATCACAACAGACTCGTCATCCAATTCCGCAAAGCCTCCAGCCCCGTGTTCTCCTACCACTTCAAACCCGATTCTCCGTAACATATCCTTCGTCTCATCCGAGTAATCTGGGTCTTGGGTAAGTAGCCTTACCCCCATGCCCCCAGTTCCAACACAAGAACGGGCTATATCAGCCATCGTCAACGCAATGGCATGATGTATAAAGGCCCCTTCTACCTCGCACGTTTCTGGCTGCCGTTCATCTTCCGGCTTAGAGTCGTTCTTTATCCTCCACCAATCGGGCGGCTTGGAGTTAATGTCGCCCAGCCCGAAACAAACGATCTTGGCCACTTTCTTCGCGTTCCCATCTCCGCCTAAGAGCTTATGAAATTGCGATGTCAAGGCCTCGCAAGTCGCACTCGCGTTCCATCGTTGTTGACTGGTTTCAAACAGCAACCGCACGTTCTCGATTGGTCCCTCGTAGTTGCGCACCGTCTGGTTGGCCCAGTCGACGAGATACGTGCAATGATATGTCTCAGGTGGACCGTCCGGTGTGGAATGGACGAGATGCCAGAACTCTTGGAACTCGACATATGGCTTCCTAGAAGGTGAAATTTGCAGTTTAGTATGAGATCTTTATCGATGGATATAAGGACTAGTGAGCCCTACCAGATCGGCTTCTGAACCCCAAACATCGGGTTCTTGATGTGAACTATACTGCCGTCGATACGGCGGACTGTAAACTTCTCGGCGGTATACGATCGCGCGAGTTGTTGTTCAATATCCACAAGATCCTCTTTTCGCCATAGCTTGACCCCTGAGTCATACAAGTCTGCTGCGCGCTGACTGCTAATTCTCCAATGGGAACAGCCATAGTCGAGCAATGGTTCCAAGAGGTCCATCTTGTGCGGTCCCTGATATACTCTGGAGACTAACTCGCTTGGTAATACGTTTACGAGGATCATAAGACACCTTCTGGTCGCAGCTGGGAAGCCTTCACCGCTTTTTGAATAAGCTGAAGCAACCATAAGCTTATTTCCGTTTTCCTCGATACGCTGCTTATCCCATCTACCAACCTATTTAGTATGGTTCCTATTACGCTATATACTAACCAGATTAAGACGAAGCTCACACACTGATTGATCGAGTATCAATAAACTGCAGTTTTCGTGGCCTAGTGGTTAGGGCGTCTGTCTTACATTTGATGATCACAGAAGATCCCCGGTTCAATCCCGGGCGGAAACAACTTTTTGAGCGATTTCGCTATGCGAAAATAAAGGGTTTCCTTCTGTATTCAACAGAGTCATGTCCAGAAATACCAGCCGTTAGAGCTGTGAGTGGAGAGGGCGCTGACGTATACTATGTATACGTCAAAGGCTGATTTTGGCTCCCTGTTCTGTTCTCGGCTACAGCAGTCCGGCCCTCTGTAACAGATGCATCGAGTACTACAAGAGTAACGGGGCCAAATTCTGGATCTGAGGCCCCTTGGAGCTGATTATCACGGAACGCTACGGAATAACCCCCGGAGATCGGGGTACTGGGCACGGGTCTTTGGCCCGTGTATATATATACTAGCTCTTCCAGCTCTGTAATATAGATAGGGGTTTTCTTCCTTGCGCAATAACAATAGTTATTGCTGGATACCAGCAGTGAGAGCTGTGACAGTTCGCGGGATACAGAATGATTATCTTAAGAGACTCATATTCGTAGTCAGGATCTCACTCATGTATAGGGTATGTATGGTCTAAACATCTTCGTAGGTTAGCCCTTGGCTATATACACATACGCTCTTTATTCCAGGGGAAGATCGTGATCGTAACACTTAGTCTAGCGCCGTGCTGCACCTCAGACTAAGTAGCCTTGTAACTGACCTTGTTTCTTCGGCAGTTAAATATTCATGTTGCTTGCCAGCGTCTACAAGTCCCTAATGGTCGGTCAGCTATTAATACCGGCGGATGTCCTCGACAGTGGTAAAATTTATATAAGTGAATTTCTTTTTTATACTCTAGTTGTACCACTTTACATTAAAACGAAGGCATTGGTAACTAAAAAATTACCAACTAAATTCACAACCCTGGGATCACTACAGATTTAGCACTACGGCATGAGTCACGCACCCGGGTGGCACTACGGCCCCGCTTACATATTCGGCGTCCGGAAAGGGTTTGGCTAGAACCGGGACAACTACTATGTTAGACCCTACCTACCTAAGTACCTATAGATAGAAAACTCAAGGCAACCCGATTACGCGGCAAAACTACCTATCAGTAGGTAGTGTCCCGTTCAGTTAGGCCGATATTTACTTCGCCGACTTGTAGGGTCACCAGTGGAGTCCAACCCCCATGGTTTTGGTCCAGTCTAGTGGGAGTTTTATAGCAACCATCAAAGTCCTATATACGCCGTCGAGGTATCTGATGCGAGTGCATGTAGCCTCAGTACCTTCTACAATATACCTATAGTCATTATATTCTATCACTTTCGGAATTAGCGCCATGGCTGAAGTACACGGGAAGTGCACTCCACAGTTCGAAAAGGTCCGTTCTCTTCTCCAGCAGTTCGTCGATTCAGGAGAAGAGACAGGTGCCTCTATAGCCGTCAACGTCGATGGTGAGGATGTCGTCAACCTCTGGGGCGGCTACGCGAATCCAGAAGCCAAGCAGCCTTGGGTCGAGGATACCATTGTCGGCGTCGCCTCAAGCACAAAGATGTTTAGTAGTCTTGCTGTCCTCATGCTCGTTGATAGCGGCGTCATTTCCGTCTATGACAAAGTTTCCAAGTATTGGCCCGAGTTCACCGCCAATGGGAAAGAGAACGTCGAGATCCGTCATTTGCTGTCGCACACTTCCGGCGTTGCTGGTTGGGACGATAAGGTCACCATGGATGAGATATGTGACCCCGTCACGTCTTCTGCGAAGCTAGCTCCCCAGGCGCCGTGGTGGGAACCCGGTACAGCGTCGGCGTACCACGCCTATAGCTTCGGCCACCTACTGAGTGAAGTCATACGTCGTGTGACGGGAATGAGTCTGAAGCAGTTTATCACGGAGAAGATCGCAACGCCCTTAAGTGCTGATTTCCAACTCGGGATCTTAGAGAAAGATGCGCCTCGTGTTGCAAAAACAACCCCTCCGTCGAGTCCGAATCCAGACTTTAAACCTGGACCTCTCTTTATGAAGGCGATCGCGAACCCCATGATGCCCCCTGATATAGGGAGACGCCCTGCGTGGATGCAAGGAGAGATCGGCGCTTCTAACGGCTACAGTAACGCTTACGCGATGAACCAAATACTGTCCACCGTCACACTCGCGGGCTACGAGGGTACTGGCGAGCGCAAGCAACTGCTGTCTAAGTCAACCGTCGACTTGATCTCCGAGGAACAATCCAATGGAACGGACCTCGCTATCGGATCGCCCATTCGTTTCGGTATCGGATATGCCATAAAGGGCGATGGAGACTGGGTCGATGGTTGGATGCCTGCAGGCGACATTGCTTATTGGGGCGGCTCGGGTGGCTCTCTCGGTATCATGGATGTCGGTCGTAAGGTCACTATTACTTATGCCATGAACAAGAGATCGGCCTCAGTGATCGGAAATACGGCGTCCAAGGCATACATAGGTGCAATCTACGAGGCACTAGGAGTCAAGGTTCAGTGATTATCAGAGTCGAGCTAGTCAGAGTGTGAACAGTGGGCCACATATTCCCCTTTCGATGTCATAGTATGAAGAAGTCAAACTTTAAAGCGAGTTGTATTTGTGTCAGGTAATGCCATGGTGGTTGTATTGTTGTTGTAGAGGTTATGGAGGGACCTAGTGTCCTGACACTGTAGCTACTCCATATATACATGACCTAGGCCGTGCCTGCCTACAATTTGTGCACGAAACCCTTGAAAACTATAATTCACATGCCTTCCTACGTTAATACGTATCATTTCGACATCTCGTGATATCCTGCGCAAGGTAGGATTGTAATTGTGACAGTGACAGTATAAGGTCACATGTCATCCATCGTAGCATGAGCGAATCAACCCAACCTATGTCGCGTATTGCTTGCAACTAGCCTTTCAATTGTTAGTCTTGTTATCACGTAAGATAATTTGGCGGGCATACACCAATGCATCGACCTTAAGGGGTTGGGACAATGGCGGCAACCCAGCAAGAGGCTTGGCAAGTACCGAAGGCTGCGTTGCAGGCGACGATACTTGCTGGGGCTGAGATACCCAGTGTCGCCCCCCAAGTAAACCCCGCTGCCGCATAACATGCCTTCACGACGGCTGCGCAGCCAGCTTGACAGATACTATATGAGGCGGGGCCAGCACTCACAATGGGGGTGAAGGTGAGTAGTGCGGTGACGAAAGGAGTGCTGGGCTTCATATTGTATTTCTTGTTGTAAGTAGATAGAATGTAAGTGTAAATCCAGTGGTCAGACATGATCCGGACAGCCGAAGGCTGTGTTTATATACTTGTGCACCATTCGGTAAGCGGGAACGCCGTAGAAACAAGCCGCGTGCAATAGATGCCTATGATGGAACTATTAGTTCGCATCTACGTGTCTGCCTGAGTATTTCTTATAGGCCGTGGCCCTCGAAATGCATTGATACACGTAGATACGGCGAGGATCAAGAAAAATATAGAGTATCTAGACTTATCTACTACCAGTACCCTATTTTAATATCATAGTTGCATCATCTCCTGATAGGCCGCGGCCCAGGCTGGCACTAACATTTGCAGGAGGGGTAGGCAGCTTAAGGCATCCAGATATGACATGACGTGGATCTTATCTATGCCTTTCCGTGCATGATATTAACATCGAACCATGGTTCTAGGACACAGGACAATTAGCTAGCGATATGATTGGTGGCATTGGGCTATTGACTGGGTGAGCAGTCATTTTGGGGGCAGTCATCTAAAGCAAGTCTGCGTTGCAAGCAAACGGCCGTTTGCCGACTCGGTTACATTGTATCCCCGCATGCGGTTGCTAGCTCCCCGTAAGCTAGAAAATAGGCTTTGTTTGCTGTACCAGAAATCCAGATAGCTTGGTATATATAACGAGACCTTTTTCCTAGTCAGTCATGTAGGGTACTTTCGCTATCCTGAATGCCTATTATTCAAGATTAGACCTTAGAAATAGTATCAAGGAGCCCATTAGATAATTACTACTTAACAACCTCCCTCCTTTTCCCGTCTCACGTGAGGCCGCAGACTAAGCAAAGTACACCGAGGGAGGGACGGTGGTGGGGCTCATTACTTCTGCCTGTCTTCAAGCGCCTCTCTTCAAGCAGAAAGATGCTTTAGGGAAAGACATGCATGCATGCATGCACGAACGCTATGCACGACATGGAAAGTTGCTATCAGTAGTAAATGGCATAGGCTTTAGACTACCCAGCCTAGTGAAAACTAAAGATGTTTACCTATAAATTCCATTCGAAAATGATATAAACGGCGTAAAGTACAGCAAGAACTATGCTGCAGAATGAATATAACTTGAAGCTATCGCGAAGTTCGAATATAAATAACCCCAGGCGTTATATCCACACACCGCGTGTGAGTGGATATGGGAATCTAAAGAAATCCTAGCATGCGAACCAATGAAAATATTTCGTTCTATTCTTAAGGCTGAGGTGCATGCATGGCGGACCGCAGTGTGGAGAACTGCTCAATTAAGCTTAGAGCAAATGTATCATCAGAATTCGACATTCGAAACAAAGATTACATGGTCTCTGGAATGGATGCGGCTATGGCTTCTTTTTTTAACCAGTTTCCGAAGTTTTTCCATCGTCGAAATAGTAATGCTAATCATGAAACAATGTTGCAGGCTGTAAACAACCTACCCCTAGTTTTCAAGGGATAAGTCTTGGATGATGTAATCAATGCATGTCGCATAAGTAGGTATGCACAGCATGTTAGGTACCGTGCATAGACAACATGTCGGTAGGCAACAATGAAGCTTTAAGTGTGGACTAATAATAGTATGATGATCAATACCCATATGGTGCGTAAGACATGGGGATTTGATCTCAGGTACCTGCCAGGGCGATGCATATACCGTAGCAACAGCCGTAGATTGGTGCTTGAACAACGGCTGATCTCCAATTGCATCGCCACAAAAGCCCTACGCGGCCCGAGAGCAGAGCCCCACAATCCCGTCATCATCTGTCCCCGGGTCTGCCCGGGTCTTCGTTACCCATACTTCCACTTGCGTCAATATGCAGCAGCAACATTCTTGGGCCATTCTGATGCCGATTCCGAAAA